AGCCAGGGTGCTTTTCCGTGGGGGTTGGGAGTCTTCACAGGTCTGCAGATGTTGCGGTGAAGACTCGAGCCCTGGAAGACGCTCGCATCTGGGCACAACGGACGGAGGTGCTGGCTCCTGCACCCAGGGTGGCCTCTGTGTCAGGACCCCTGGCAGATATTTAAGGGAGACCTCACTGGCTCCCCCACCTCTGAGGGAGGCAGGATGGAGTGACGTCAGGTCAGCGCTGGGAAGAGGTCATCAATAACTGGGCCTGGCCACAGAGGGAAGAGGACAGCCCTGATAAGCGGAACTGTGTGGACACGGCCTGCCTCCCACAGGAGGCCCTGCAGGGAAGCCTTTCCTGGGCTGGCGTGGACTCACTGGGGCCAGAACTGAGGGGCAGCTCAGTCAGGAAAACCTGCAGAGCCTCCACCCAGCAGGAGGACGCTGACCTCCCCGGGCATCCCTCTCTGGAGGGAAGACGGTGGCCGTGCTGACCTGGCCATGTTTCAACTTCAATCCAAACAAAGCAGGCAGTGACATTTAACGTGTCGCAGGCTTTGCAGACTACTGACCAAGCCGGCATTTCCACCAAGGTCCTGGCATGCCGATGGTGCTGGCCAGGGACCCGCTTCCGGGAGCAGCAGCCCAACCAGGGAAGGACACAAGGCCTGTGTCCTGCTGCACCTCTGCCCATTTCTGAGTGACTGTTGAGACCCAGGCATCGCTCCCCGAGCACAGATGGGGTGGCCGCAGGACGCACACAGCTGATGCTTGGGCCGTGCCCTAGTGTGCGGGATGCTGTCCTGAGTGCTTCACAGGAGCTGATTTAGAGTCGCCACCCATCATGAGGCAGCTGGGGGTATTGTCCATATTTTGCGGAGAGAAAACTGAGGTTCAGACAGCACTAACTTACCCCAGTTTAGCGGATATTAAATGACTGTGCTGGGGCTTCGCAGTGTCTCCGCCAAGGCCAGAGTGTGTGGCTAGCCCCAGGCCTCTCTTCAGGCGTGTAGACTCGGTTGCTCCCAGGCAGGAGAGGAGCCAGGGCCTTCTCGAATGGAGAGACATGGATTATTAAACTCCCAGCTCAGGTCTCCTTTTTCCTGGGCTGCACCTTCCTGTTGAAGGCACGAGGATGGCCGGCTCACACCCGGGCCAGCTTACACCCAAGGCCCCACCAGGCCGGCTCACCCCCAAGGCCCCCACCAGGCCGGCTCACAGCCGCAGGCCCTATGTCAGCCCAGCCGGGCCTCCCAGGGCAGTGTTGTGAGGACTGCTCTCCAGTAGGAAGCAGACCGACAACAGCAACTAGCGTTCTCTCTAGGCCTGTGTTCAAGAACAAATGGAGGCCCGCTTGCCCCAGAAGGAGCATCCCCTGGAGGGCCCCCGAAGGCCGGGGCCGAGAGTGTCCGGCCGTGCCTTTGCCTGAGCCTCCCTGGTCCCCCTACTTCGGTGGGATTCCCGTGGCTTCCCTCCAGGACTCTGGTGAACATGGCCGGGGGTTGCCTCACACTGTTTGAGCCTGACCGCTCTGTGAGAAGACACTCCTCACCCCACGAACTGAGTGAGCTCTCCTGGGCCGGCCGTCATGGGGAGGGTACCAGCCCTTGCGCTTCTCATGTCAGAAGTTGCAAGACAAGCCTCGGAGAAGGATTTTCTAAAAGGCTTCTGGTTCTGGAAACACTCTGGAAGGTTTTCTTTCAGGTGAATAGCAAGGGCGAGACGGACACACAGTCATAGCACACGCAGGTCCACAAGGAAAGTGCCCTGGCTTCTGCTCCAGCAGCTGTGGTGTCTGCGTGGTGGGGCATGTGGGGCGGGTGAGCGAGCGTCCGCCCCACAGAAAGATGACCCATCCCTTGGGGGTCTTAATGGCTAGTCTGTCCGGTAGAACTAAGAAAGCTGGTGGAGGCGGCATGGAGTCTCCGAGAGCTCCGAAGACGGGAGGAGCACTGGACACTGTGAGGTGCGTCCAGAGCCTGGGCCTCGCCGCTGAGTCTGGGACACCATTTCTCTCTAGTCCTCTTCCCTCCTCCTCCTCCTTTCCTTTGCTGTCACGGGTTGGGCTGAGCCACTCATCAGATGTTTGGCACGGCCCCTGCCCGCCTATGTGGCTGTGGCTTCTGATCGACACGCAAGGACACCACGGCTCAGAGCCAAGTGCCTTGCCTGGAGCAGGTGGGGGAAAGGTGGTGTGAGGCTCGCCTGGCCTCCCAGCCCGGGCCTCCCAGCCCTGCCTCCCACTGCCTCCAGGCTGAGCCTCGCTGTTCTGTGTTCCCAGGGACAGGATGAGGACGTCGGTGAACGTCGTGGGCGACTCGTTCGGGGCCGGGATCGTCTACCACCTGTCCAAGTCTGAGCTGGACACCCTTGACTCCCAGCACCGTGGGCACGAGGACATCGAAATGACCAAGACGCAGTCCCTGTACGACGGTCTGAAGGACCACCGGGGCAGCAACTCCAGCCAGGGCGTCTACACCGCGCACAACTCCGTCGTGGCAGACGACTGCAAGGTACCCCTCCCCTTCATGGACATCGAGACCTGCATCTAGCCACGCATGCGCCCACTGCTAACCACAGCCGCAAAGCCTGCATGCGTTGTTGTCCGTCTGTCCTTCGGGGGCCGTGCGCCAGCGCTCACGTCCCAGGCCATCTAACTGTGTCTAACACGGCGGGAAGGTGGAAGCAGCCACTCTGGCCCCCCCACCCCCGCCCGCCCAGTCGACGCGTCCGATTGGGGTTCTTGAGTGTTTTGCCCAAGCACGCGTGGCTGCCAGAGTGAGGGCTTTCCAGTATTCTATTCCGCAAACAAGACACCAAGGGAAAACTCTAGCCTTATTTGTTTTTTGCGGCACGAGTGTGCCTATAAATTGTGCCCACGTGACTTTGTACCACTGTCTTTCCCCTAATTATTTTTGCGGGAAGGGTGAGTTTTGACCTGGGAGTCGCTGCTTCCAAAGTGGGTGATGAGTTGCAGCTGAGGAGTAGCGATCCTTCAGGACCGTCCCCAGGGATGCTTTTTAGAAGCACCACGTCTCACACAGCACGTGGCAGCGCCATCTTCCCTGCAGCGCGGATGTTCTGGGCTCTCCTCCAAGGTGCTGGGCGCTAAGTCTTCAAGCCTATGGGCTCTGTCTCGCCTTCACTGTCACTAACTCGGCATTGTCAAAGTCAGAGTGTCATGACCAGAGTGAAGCAAACTTGGACAAACCCTGGTGGGTGAGCAGAGTCAGTCGGGGGGTGGTGTGCCAAAACGCTTCCTCTCGGCAGCTGTGGACACTCCAAAGCCAACACAGACACCTGGCTCCTTTCTGACTTCTGTTGACAAGGTCCCAGCTAATCAGGAATGTCTTCCTGTCACTTTGGGTCGCTCCCCATGCACACCAGGGCTTCTGCCAGGCACTGAGGGTGGCACAGGAGCAGCTCTCTTCATGGGGCCAGAACGTAGCTTGAATTCTGGCAGACTGGCGTCTTCTGCTTGGCCCCTCAACGTCGGGCACGTGGGTGCGTGCACCAGGTTCTGAGATGAGTTAGGGAGGGAGCCCCCATCAGGAAGCAATCGCACACATGAGCTCATGGGTGACGTGAACACGAGTCAAATGGTTAGAAGCACAGAGGCCCCCAGAGCACATCATCCGTTCTCCTGGAGGGTCGGTGCCCCCACACCCACGTGGACATGCGGGGAGTCCTCATCAGAGGTCACTGTGGCCCCACCGGGGTCAACATTCCTGAAATCGCTCTCTGCTCTGTCCCAGGCAACAAGCACCTGCCGTGTGCCTTGTCAGGGTTGGTGGACCGCCCCCCCGCAATTCCATGACATCCTGTGCTTTAATCATTCAAGTATTTATTGAGCGCCTGTGATCTAAGAAGCCCTGATTTGGCGTTGGGTGACAGCAAAAAGAGTCTGCAGTGTTGTAGTGAAGATAAGGCTTGAATGCAAATTATTGCCGTATAGGGAACAGAGCACAAAACAAAACGAAACTGCCATTTTTAAAAGTCTCACAATTGAACATAGGAAGAGTCTGGGTGGTTCCTGCCCCGGCCCGCTCGGAGCTTCCTAAGAGGCTTCTGGACATCATGTGGGCCACGTTTAGAAGAGAGGGTGTATAGGTTTGGAGACAGTTTTAGATTTCAGACTTCCTGGGTTGTTGTTTTCTTCTTGAAGGACGTCAAACCCATCAGGATACATTTGCTTTATTTTTCAAAGCAAAGTATTTCCGACTTCATGGGGATGTGCCTGTGAATTCCCCCTGCCAGAAGGAAGTGAGCCACGAGAGGGACTTTGCTCTGACTCACACTGCCATGTCCGCGCCTGAGACAGCGCCTGGCGTGTGGGGGGCTCGATACGTATTTGCTGTCTATGTCCTCCTAGGCCTTTACTCTTTGCATGCTTTTGATGGACAGCCATGGCGGTGGTGGCTCAACCCCTGTGTAGTTGGCCAACCAGCTCCTGAAGACTCAAGGACTGATTAGCATGCGAACGGCCACCCTCACCCAGCTGGCCAGGAAGATGAGGAAATGGCCCCCCGGGTTTAATAAGACTCCAGTGTTTGCATGTTCAACAAAGTGACTGGTTCAGCCCAGGGAAGGTTCTGGGTCCCAGCCTTCGCTGGAGAGGCATGTTGCCTCTTCTCAGTGAGCGGAGGCTGTGAAGCTGAGGGGTGAACACTCACCCACCTAGCCACTCCTCTGAGCTTCCTTCGGGTCAGCGTTCGGTCTCACTGTTTCTCACTTCTTAGAGGCCAGCACTTACTGCCAACGCCATCCCCTCCTCCCTGTCACCCAGGGGCTGGAGTGGGCAACAATGGGGTGGTTCGAGGTGGAGTCCACTTTCCTTAGCCCAGGGAGGGAATGCCAAAAAAGCTGCCATCTGGCACTTTTGAAACAGGCCCTAGAATTTACAAACAAAGGCAGACCTCGAAGCCCCGCCCCCAAGCCCTCCGGGCCTTCCCGGGCTCCACACAGTGGCTGATGGCTCATCCCCAAGAACCAAGGGCACGTTGGAGGTCACAGCAAATGGAGGCAGACAGTCTGTCCCTGGCGGTCCTTCCTGACAGTTCACTGAAAGGGAGACAAATTTGCTGCCGCTCTGGTTGAAACGTTAACCATGGCAAGCACCACTCTGTCGTGCCAGTCTCCACGTCCAGACCCTTGCCTGGGGTGGCTGTGGACGCCACACCGCTTTTCCGCTTTCAGCGTGGTGACTGCGTGGGGGCAGCCGTGGCTAACCGCATGACCTTTCCTAGAAGGTGGGGGCTGGCGGGGACTGCAGGAGTGTGTCTTCCCACTGGCATGGCTCGCGGGGCACTGGGTCTCTATTCCTGGCATGCTGTGTGTTCTCTGATGCATGAGCTCACGTGTGCCAGGGTGGGAGGAGGTCAGATTTCTTTCCAACCTTGTGCGTTTGTCATGTCTCCACGTTCTAATGCTTCCATAAATCCAGTCTCTCCATTGTGTGGAATGTCAGTCGTGGGTTTGAGTTTGCACGTGACCTTGAGGACAGACAGACAAAGGTAAGCTAGGAAGCCCCTAGAAGGGGGAAGGGGGAGACCTTCCTGCCCTGCGTGAGGGTTAGCTCACTTTCAGACAGAGAAGTGTGATCTAGACAGTCTATTCAGGTGTCTGTTTTTTCCTTTGGTGGGGTAGGTTGGAGTCTCTCTCCATTGCCCAGACTAGAGTACAATGTCACAATCATGGCTACTACAGCCTCGACCTGCTGGGTGCAGGCGACATCCCACCTCAGCCTTGCAAGTAGCTGAGAATATAGGCGAGCACCACCACACCTGGTTAATTGTTTACTGTATTATAGAGATGAGGTCTCACCATGCTGCCCAGGCTGGTCTTGAACCCCTGGGCTCAGGCAGTCCTCTCGCCTCGGTCACCCAAAGTGCTGGGATGACAGGCTGAGCCACCTTACCTGGCTTATATTCATTTATAAACATCTGCATTGGAATGACTTAGCCATCCACTGCCCCCAATGTCAGGCTGAACCCTCCATTTCTCTTTAATTTCTCAACCAGGATGACTTACTGGCAGAGGCTGACACCATGAGTTCTGCTTTTTCTTTTCTTTTTTTTTTGAGTTGGAGTCTCACTCTGTCACCCAGACTGGAGTGCAGTGGCCGCTCCCGGCCACCGCAGCCTCGACCCGCTGGGCTCCGGCAATCCTTCCACCTCAGTCTTCCAAGTAACTGGAACTACAGGTGTGCACTACCACGCCCGGCTAATTTTTGGATTTATTGTAGAGATGAGGTTTCGCCAAGTTGCCCAGGCGGGTCTCGAACTCACGGGCTCAGGCAATTCACTCACCTTGGCCTCCCAAGGCGCGGGATTACAGGCTGAGCCACCGAGCCCGGCCGAGTTCTGCTTTTTCAATTGGTCGCATCTGAGATCCGCCCAGCCTCACCACAGCTGGACCTTCCGCATGTATGAGCAGAGCCGTGGCTGGTTCTGGGCTCTCTCGAGGTTGTCTGGAGGGGCCCACAGGCACTGGGCTCCCTGTGACAGGCCAGTGGGTAGTTGACACCCCCCGGCCTTGAGAGCATGGTGGAAGTCATTCCCCAAATTGCAAAGGATCTGTGGCCTCTCGAACCCTACCTTGCCAGCTATGGGGACTTTTTAAGCTCACACATCACAGTTGAAAACCAAGCGATTCCCCCAGAAGGGACCCGATAAAGCGACGATCAGCCGTGTGGCGTGGACTGGTGCCATCCACACGACCGCAGGCTTCGTCCAGGCTCAGCCGTAAGCCGGTGTCACTGGGGTCGTTTCAGGTGACTCTGGCAGCCAATGGGAAGTCGGCCGACGGCGGTGTGGACGAGGAGCCATGGAAACGGGACAAGTAGGCTGGGCCCTCGCAGATTCTCGATAAAGTCCCCGGCGTCTCTTGTGGTCAAAGGTGACATAAACAGCTTTCCGTCAACAGGAATGTGTGTCTACTTCTGTGTTTCCTTAACCTGCTAACTGAGGTTCAGCGGGCACGCCATCGGTGGGCACAGCGCTGTGTCCCCGCCACGTCATGCTTCATAACCGTCTAACGTCTCACCCATGCCATCGTCTGCTCTGAGGTGCTGGAGGGACCCGTTTGCACTGAAGACACTTTCGGCTGCTCCCCGTCCTCCCACGATGCAGAGATGCAGACGCCCATGTCCCCGGGGCGCGCCTCTGTGGCTGGGCACGCTCCAGGGATATGGGGCGGCACACACATGCTCGGGCTGTCATCCTCAGCGTGGTCCCTGCACTTTGCGGTGGCACGGACAAGAGTCCTGCTGGAAGCTCGAAAGAGCAGCCCCCGGAATGCCATGTGGTGCTTGTGCGTGGGGAGGGTCGAGGCTAGTGCCCTCTGGGGACCCCGACGACGTGTCTTGTATATCCCCTAAGTCGGGTGTCTCCGAGGGTCTCAGTGGGAGCCGTGCACTGGCGGGTCATGGAGCCCTTGCATCCCACCTCCCTGGCCTGTCAGTGGGAACGCCACTGACCCTCCAAGGGTGCTTCAGAATCTGCTCTGCACTTGCTCATGGACAAGGAAGTTTCCCATGGGACACCGTGTAGATTGACAGAGGCAGGAGCACGGGCTACATGAAGCAACCCAGTATAAATGCTCAGTTAGATGAGTCTGGTCTGCAGTCACCGGGTTAGTTAGTTGAGTTTGGTCTGCAGTCACCCTATGGGACATCTGGTCTGTTTTGCTTTCTTTTCCACCCATAGATTCCTTTTGGGGTTTCTAACCCCCCAAAATATCTTTTTAATCCACCAGTTGCTTCAGTCATGTTCTTGCCAGCTACGCCTGAGGTCCACATGTGGCTGTGGCCCTCTCAGATTGACGCTTGAGGAAACAGAATAGCTGGTCTCTTCTCCTGTGCAGGAGGCACCTGGTTGCCTCTGTCAAAGCACACAGGCAGCCACGGGCACTGGCTCTCCCCAACCTGCTCAGCAGAGAGGAAGAAAGTCAGCATCTGAGCACAGCCCTTTGACGGGGGCAGGCCCAGGGCAGAGCCCAGCCGCCGTGGGCTGAGTGGGACGGAGGGTGGCTCATCACAGTTCCCAGAGGCAGCCATGATGAGGCTGTGAGTCTGGGAGTGTCCATGCACGGTTGGCCCCGCCCAGTGCCTTGCACACAATAGGCAGCAACGCATCCGTGATGACTGGTCACGCAAGCTGCGTTCCCAATGTCTCCGCTGCTTTTGCATGAATAACACACAGGGTTTTCCTGTCAAGAGGGTGGCATAGGAGCGGGTGTGCATCCGAGGCCAGTGTGGGCTCTGAGGGCCCATGGCTGCAGGACCCAAATTCTCCGAGGGGAGCATTTACGGAGCTTAGATACCCCTTGTCACCCGCTCCTGTGGTTTCTGCCTTCCAAATCAGGCCCTTGGGAGCATACGCAAGACAGGAGCTCCCCACTGTCTTTCCCCTAGACCCTCCCTATTTTTGGATAGGGACCCCATTGAACAGTATTAAGCAGCTTCCTGCAGAACAGACCCTGGTCTTTCTTCTCCTTCGCTGGGCAGTTGACAGGGTGGCCCAGGACACGCTCAGGCGTGGCTGTGGGGGCGCTGCCTCAACGGCACGTGTGGGTGAAGGGAGCAGCTCCCAGCTCAGCTGTCCCGAGCTGTCTTGAGCAGGGCTTTCCCATGATGAGTAGAAGGGGCCAGGCAGACGTTCGGGCTCGGTGCTTTCTGCTGTGGGAGGCCACCTGTGTGCGCAGGACGCGCTGCTCAAGGGGCGGCCGCCGGATTGGTTTCTCCAGTCTCAGCCCGAACATCTTTCCAGAGCGTCGGCCTCAGCTTCCTCCACACTGTCCTGCGAACCTGGGGCATGCAAGTGGCATGTTCAAAGGAGTCAGGCACCCGGCTGAACACAGCAGCCAGTGAGTCTCACGAGACCACACAGGAAATCACATCTCCCTGGAACCTTAATCCGTCATATCGAAAACAAGCAGTGTCTCAAAGCAGGGCCAGCCCGAAGACGGAGGGTATCTGCAGTCCTGCGGCCCTATGTACCCTTCCCACACTAACTCGGAGGTCCTGGCCAACCGACATGCCGCCAACAGAGTAGATGGACCCTGTGTGTCCCTCCAATGACCTTCATCTAAGACCGGGGCCCATGTGACCCACCATCATGTGTGCAGACTCACCCTGGAGCATCCGACACAGAAGTGAAGGTGCCAGTCCATTAATGTTCGATGGTGCGCATATGTGACGCGTGTGCCCAGGTGTGCAGGCCACACTCAGATGCTGCACCCTGAGGGTCTGTGAGTGGGGCCTTGGCGACGCCCTTGTGTCATAGGCTCGTGCCCTTTTTCAGGAATTGGAAGCCCGTCAGGAGAAGCCAGCTCAGCACACTTAGTCCTTCCCTGTCCACTCCTGCCCTTGAGAGACCCTCAGGGTCGGCATTTAGTCACATGCCAGGATTCAAGGGGCTGGACCCATCCACAGGGAAAACGACCCATCCCTCGAGGTGATCCTCCCCTGGTCCTGGGGAACATGCCCCTCACACAGGGCACTGGAGACCCAAGGCCACTGCCACATCCTCCTGACCCTCGGCGACCCTCAGCATGACTCCAGCTGGCAAGATCTGAACGCACGGCTCTGAGTCAGTTCTCATTTCCCGCTGGGGACAGACAGCCCTGGTTTTGCTGCCGGGGGAGGTTACCGTGCAAAGACACACCCGTCAAAGACACGCCCTCACCTCTCCTCTGGAGCCACTCGTCAGCCTGCACATTCGTGAGAGCGGAGAGAAGGCACCCGAACGGCCAACTCTGGCCTCGAGCTCGCAGCCTGTGAGAAAGGCTTGGGGGAAGGCCCAGCTCTGGGGGACCCTGGTCGGGACATGGGAACCCCAGGACTAGCAGATCGGAGGGGTTCGGGCAGGAAGCCCTTCTGATGTGAAGTGCTGGAAACACACATCCTGGGTCCCCAAAGAAAACCCAGTCCCTCCATGTTTGGAAAACGCCACACCACCCTTTGCTCTCAACAGCAGAAGTCATGGTGCAGCTTTCACTTCAGCCAGCATCAGGCCTCTGGCACCTGTGCAGTGTTTCCCCATGAAAAGCAGCAATACATGTGCATGCCCAGAGTGAAGTCCCCTGGGGCCCAACTCCTGGAAATCAAGTCTCCACTGCCCTCGCCTGCTCCGATGTCGGCAAGGGGCGGCCGTGACCCTGGCAGAGGCAGCGTCCCGACCTGGCTGCCCGCCAGGTCCACGGCTGCACGGGGGTCTGGGCTGCAGATGGGCCATGCCATTCCAAACCAAGAAAAAGTACCCCGTGGGTTTCCCACCACTGTCGTATTATTTGAATAAGAATCCTGGCGTCTGGGCGCAGGAAGATTAGGTTAACGCAGAGTCCTAGAGAGCGCAGGGGCAGCTCGGTCAACCTGGTCAGACAAGGTCGGCCATCTCAAGGTCTGCAGTCACTTCTGGCCAACAGAGAGAAGGGCACGGAGTGCTGACCAGCCGGGCGCTAGAGGCAAGCTGTCGCTCTGGAAGTGTCACGCTGCTCGTGAGACTCCACTGAGGATTCAACCCGACGCTCCACCTCCCACCCTTCCACCTCACCAGTCCCAGCATTCCCCTTACCGCGGCAGCCTCACCAAGAGACCGCTCAATGCACGCCACGCCCATTGGTGTGAAGGTCCGTCTGAGAACGGGTGCCGACGTCCTGACTGAGCAGCGCCCAGCCTCCTGGCACAGCACAGATAGTGCAGGCAACAGCCCTGAGCTGAGAAGCAGCGTGGGTTGGTGGTGGGGATATGGGTGGGACCGGCCCAGCCAGCCTTCAGCCATGGGGCTTGCCACGTCACTGCCAAGCCTCATTTTCTCCCACAGGAAAAGCAAAGGGTTGGACTCACGACCCCAGTCCCCTCCCGGCTCGTGAGCCCATGGTGCCGTGCCCTCAGCTCGCTTCTTTCTCAAGAGGCTCCCTGCGGCCCAGGCTGCCTGTAGTGCTCTGAGTCCAAGGACAGCAGTGAGCCCCACGGTCGTGCAGAACCCATTTCAGTCCGTTCATCTCTTCCAGGGAAACTGGCTTCGGGCCTTGTCTCATGGGCGTCTCTCAACAGGCGGGGAGGGTGGCTGCGTTACTGCAACCGGCGTTTGGGACGCCAGCACATGTTCCAGATGAACCGTCTCGGCATGGGCGCTCAGCCACTTGAACACTCTCATGAAATTTGGTGCAAGACTTCGTGGACACAGCGGCTGTCCTGACACCTTCCCTCCTCAGGTGTGCACCCACCCTGCGCACTGGCCCAGTCCTTTCTCCGAAGGGTGCCCGGGTGTTGGTTTGCTTTTGCCGTGGGTGCCACATTGCAGGCAGAGAAGCACTGCCTTACGGTAATGGAGTCTTCCAGCTATCCGGGCCACCTGCCTCACCTGGGGAGTCTCCGGGGGATGAGTGTGTGATCTGCGGGGCACGTCTCCAGCAGGGCCTGGCAAGCTCCTCGCGCTTTCTGGTCCTGCTGTAGCGGGCGTCAGTCACACCTTGGCTTCTGGTCCAGGCTCCTGCGGCAGGCGGGGCAGGGTTGGTGTTTGCTGTGTTGTGGGCGACTTGAGGTTTCGGGCAGCGGGATGGAAAGCAGAACTACGGGGTTGGGCATGCTTATCCACTGGCCCTTCCCGTGAGTGCAGAAGATCCGAGGCAGGAGTGAGGGAACAGGCACTCCCCACCGGTCCAGACAAGGGCCGGCCGGAAGGAGGCCACCCGAACTCCGCATCCCCCTGGATGGCATCCGCTCTGTGTCAGCCCCGCCCCACCCAAGCGCCAGGCCACGTGCACCTGCTGTGCCCTCCCGCGGCCCTGGTGGTGTCCTGCAGAGAAAGACGTCTGCCACTCGCAGCTGTGAAGGGCCAGCGCTTGTCCTGGAGGACGGGGCAGGCCCCGCTCCTCTGCAGGCGCTCCAGCCCCTGTGAGCCTTGGGACCTGCAACCCACTGT